GTGGTATCAGGATTGGTGGAAGATCTATTTGAGGAGGACCTGAAATGCTTGCTGCAGAGGGTCAAGGACTGCAGTCTTCAATATGGATTGAGGCTCAACATCAAAAAGACAAATATTCTCACCACTGGACCAAGTGGCAGCATCAGGATGGATGGTGAAGAGATTGAGATTGTTAACAACTTTAGTCTGCTTCCACGGTCAACACTCTTGGCACCAGTAGCCAGGAAATCAAAAGACGTATTGTAATGGGAAAGTCTGCTTTTAGGGACCTCTCCAGGGTACTGAAAAGCAATGGTGTCACTCTGGAGACTAAGGTGTGTCTGATACAGGCTATGGTCTTTGCAATCACTTGTTATGCATCAGAGAGTTGGACAATGACTAAGGAGGATAGAAGGAGAATTGATGCATTTGAGCTGTGGTTCTGGAGAAGAGTATTGAATGTACCCTAGACTGCCAAGAAAACAAACAGATTCATTCTGGAGAGGGTTAAACGAGGCTGCTTCTTTTTAGGCAAGGATTATGATGTTTTGTCTGATATACGTTGTACATGCTGTAAGGAGGGAGAGGTCCTTGGAGAAGGACATCATGCTTGGGAGGATGAAGGGATGGCGCAGAAGGGGAAGACCTTTTATGAGGTGGATTGATTCAGTGACTGGGGTAATCGGGATGGGTGTGACAGAGGCAGTGAGATTGGCACAGGATAGAGGAGGGTTTTAGGGCTGTTGTACGTAGGGTCGCTATGAGTCGCAAGCTATTCAACGGCACATAACAACAACAACAACAACAACAACAGGATGAACTTGTTTGTTCTCCCAGCAGTCCACACTATATTCAGTATTCTCAGACTCCACAGGTCAAAGGCATCAATTCTCCTTCTATCATTCCTAGTCATTGTCCAGCTCTCTGATGCATAGCAAATGATTGCAAAGTGCTCTTCGATACTCCGGAGATGTGACAGCAGACATTCCCTGGGCAATACGTCTTTTAATTTCCTGGCTGCTGGTGCCAATAGTGTTGACTGTGGAGCCAAGCAAACTACAGCTGTTTATAATCTCAATCTCTTTACCATCTATCATGATACTGCTGAATTATAAAAACAAATACTAAATAAGATGCTTTCAGGAGAATGTTAAATGATCCAGGAAGTATTAAAAGAAGATGGAAAGAATATACTGAGTCACTGTATCGAAAGGAATTGGCAGACACAGAAGAATTTCATGAAACAACATATGAGCAATAGCCTATGGTGATGAAAGAAGACGTTCAGGCTGCTTTGAAGGAAATGGCAAAAAATGATGGCAAAAAATATGGTGAAGAGATTGAGATTGTTCACAGCTTTAGTCTGTTTGGCTCCACAATCAACAGTGTTGGCACCAGCAGCCAGGAAATTAAAAGACATATTGCGATGGGAAAGTATGCTGTTAGGAACTTCTCTAAAGTACTCTAGAGCAACGGTGTGTATCTGGAGACTAAGGTGTGCCTGGTATAGGCCATGGTCTCTGCAATCACTTGTTATGCGTCAGAGAGCTGGACAATGCCCAGGAAGGATAGAAGGAGAATTGATGCTTTTGATCTTTGGTGTTGGAGAAGAGTGCTGAGGATGCCATGGACTGCTAAGAAAACAAACAGATTCATCCTGGAGAGAGTTAAACTGGGCTGCTCCTTGGAGGCAAGGATTCTGAGACTTCGTCTGACATACTTTGGTCATGTTGTAAGGAGAGGCCGGTCCTTGCAGAAAGAAATCATGATTGGGAGGGTGGAGGGCAGGCGCAGGAGGGAAAGGCCCTCTGGGTGATGGATTGATTCGGTGACTGGGGCAATCAGGATGAGCGTGTTGGAGACAGTGAGATTGGCACAGGACAGAACAGAGTTTAGAGCTGTTGTACATAGGGTCGCTATGAGTCATAAGCGACTCAAGGGCACATAACAACAACAACAACAACATTCTAATGCGAATTTTAGAATCTTTTTTTTCTCACCTGTCCTTGTAGTAAGTATTTTCTTTGGATGATGACTTTGCTATCATCACACAACTCGTCTGGTCTTCAATCATTAGTATTCAAAGCATTAAGTCTGTTTTTGAGATGGATTTTAAATTCAGCTGGGAGAGACTCAAGATCTTATTTTGGTTCTTATGGACTTGTTTTAATTTTCTTCTGCTTCATTTTGATCAGGCACGTGAGGAATTGATGGTCCATTCCATAGTCAACCCCTGACCTTGTTTTGACTGTTGATATTGAGCTTTTCCATCCATTCTTTCCACAAATATAGTCACTCTGATTTCTCTGTAGACCACCAGGTGAGGCTGATGTGTATAGTCACTGCTTATAGTTTTTAAAATAAGATGTTTGCAGTAAACAAACCATTTATTGTTCAAATCCATTGATAATTCCAGTTATGACAGTATCTAAAATAATATTTAGGAATAGATTTAACTAAGGAAGTGAAAAATTTGTATAATGCAATCCACAATTTATTGCTGTACCTAAGAAAACTTAAATAAATAGAAAGATATGTCCTTTCATTGGAAAGATTCATATAGTATATGTGATTTTAAGAACCATAAAGCAATTATCATAAAAATGAACACTGGAATTATGAAAACATAGAAATATTTTTCTTCTACAAATAAAAAATGCTGGACTGTAACTTCAAAGATGAGTTATCATTTAAAGATTGCAATTCCAAAGCAAAGGAAATATTCCCAGTTAATAATGCTCTTTGCCAGACCAGATGTCCAACCACAAATGAATGGATTGAGAAATTATGGTACATTAACATGTTGAAATACTAAGTAGAACACAGGAGCAATGATTTTGTAAATTATTACCTAACTTGGGAGGGACTGAAGAGCATTAAGCTGAGTGAACTAGCTCAGTTCCACAAGGACAAATATTGTATAAAACCATTATTGTAGAATGAGTATAAGAATACAATGTGGGGGGGGAGTGGAAGCAGAGGGATGAGGATGTGCAGGAGGGAGGGCATTAATCATGGAGTTGTGCAATTTGATGGGTGGGGGGTGAGGGAAATTGAAATAATCTGTTCTGGAAAACAATGTATTTGAATTTTGTAAATAAACCAGTGTATTAAAAAGAAAATGTTGTTTACTTCTCAAGTAATTACCAAGGTAAAGGAATAAAGAAAAAACCTTCTGCCCATTGTAACTTACAAAGATATAAAGTTGATCATATTCTGGAGCTCTAGTCAAGGCTTCAGGTGGTTTCATGTTTAAAGCTGAGACTTTACCAGAAATCTGAGGTGTGGAATCCTGTTTTGGAAGGGCTACGATGGTAGTAACTTCATCCTATATAAGAACAAAGAGCAAGCATTAGTCTTAATGTCAGGAAAAGAGAGAAAATAAAGAGTAGTAATTCCTGAAGGTGAGGATGGGTTACTTCAGCTCCTTGTTTCAAGGTTCGAGCAGGCTTTTCAGGTTTGTAACTTGTTGATGCTTCCTGGACAGAGAAGGGTTGGTAACCTAGAATTCTGTACTGTTGAGGAACCTAGGGCGAAAGAAGACAGCTGACTGAATATCATTGAAAGTCTATTACTATTTTCAAACATCAGTTCAAACACTGGTGATACTTAATAGAAGGCAGTGGAATCTACTTCTGAATACTACCATTTCTAAGGTATCTAATGGTAAACATAAAGCAAGTACAACATTATAACTTTAGGGAGACTGCTAATTTTAATTTAGTACTAGACAAGGCTTGATCCTATTTTGAGTCCTTCAGCTCATATATATGACTCATTGTTACTTTATTGTATCACATAGCTTGACTGTAGAAATCAAACACTTGGTTGTCAATTTAAAATATCTACATTTTGAAAATCAGACATAGTGGTAACTCTCAAGGAAAGTGAACTCACCTCATCTTATATTCTTCCCCCTACAGCTTTTAATATATACTTATTTCATATGGCTAATATGTTATACATATAGTATGTCCAGAGTGAAGACAGTGGACTTCAAAACCCATGTTAAGAAATAGAAATACACTTCCCACATGCAACAAAATAACAACATGAAAGAAAACCCCAGCTCATACACTGTGCTATATATGATAATCTAGGACAAAACAAAACTTAATAATGTAATTGAAATTTAAGAATATTTTGTTTGCTTTATAAGAAATCCACTTAACTAATACCAGCAATAGGACTGACCTGCAGTTTAAGGAAAGAATAAGACTGTTTGATTTGAACTCCTGAAGACTTAATTGGGACCAGTCCAAGACGACCAGGAGCCTAAAATATAACCATACAAATAAATGACACATAATCAACAATGACTAAAAGTGGTTGTGCTTCTATCTCCATTACACTTGAAACATAAATCTACTCTCTGGTGATGTAGTCCATAGGACCTTCCACTATTAACCCAAAGGCAGAGGCTCTCTGGAGGTTCTTTGGAAAGAAGCGCAATCTTCACCTGTGTGATTTATACGCTCCAAAAATCTGATGGTCAGTTTTCAGTCGGCCTCTACTGGGTTGCACCAAGTGGAGTTGAACTGTTGACTCTAAAAATAATCCTTCCCATGACCCCAGTTGCTACTTCTTGATGCGTGATGGCATAAAACTGTGGGCCATCTCCCACTAAGCCATTTCAGGAAGGACTCATGATCCAGTTGGTACTCGAAGAACACCAGAGATAACCCCATAAGTGCTTCCACATGGTGGCCACGAGCCAGGACAAGTCAATGGCAATGGATGGTTTGATTGAGATGGTTAAGAACTCCACACTTGACTTTCTTGAGCCTCCTGGCTTATGAAGGTTGGTTCGCTCTGATTAACTCCCCTGATTTCTCCTCCCAGATGGAGAGAAGATGGCAGCCAATAACATTTTTCATCTTTCTTTTCACTTCCCAGACTCTCTTATTTTTTAGCTTGTGGGTTAGTGTGGAATGAACGTCAAGCTTGTTTGAATAAAACAACCTGAGAAGATGCAAGTCGTCTCAAACATAAAATAAAAAATGGAATAAAGAGCTGGTACTGTGGTGTTGTGATTCACTGCTGGACCATGGATGATTCAAACATCAATTTGGTTGTCAATGCAAAGCAGGCAAGCTTCTCATTGCCAAGTCTATTCTTTAGCCTCGATTTTCTACTAGAATGAAGCACATGAAATAGTTGGTTTTTTTTTTAAACAACATAAATTTATCTTTTTTAACATATTTTTAAAATTGTACATTGATTTGCATGCAAACACCACTGTTACAAAATAGGACTGACATGTGAGGTTGGGGGGAGAATATGAAAAGAGTGGATAGCTACTGAACATTGCACTGGAACAGAAGAGGGAAAGAATGGTCTGAAAGGGATATATAATTAGGTATTGTATGTTTGGGAGGGTGGAAGGATAGCCCAAGAGAGGAAGACGCTTGATGAGATGGTTGATTCATTGATTGGGGTAAAGAGAGTAGGTGTGTCAGAGACAGTGAGGTTGGCACAGAATAGAGGAGGGTTTAGGGCTCTTGTACATAGGGTCGCTATGAGTCACAAGTGACTTGACAGGACATAGCAACAACAACAACAACAATGTATAGCAACAATCTGGGACAAGAAGTGGATTGGAAAGTGGACTAGGGGAGTGGGAAAGAAGGAGGAGAGAAGAAAATGTTCAACAATGAATGAATTAAAATTTAAAAAAGGCAACTGGAAAGTTTATTTGGAAAATAAAGAGACCCTGAATAAGCAAAGCACTTCTGAAAAACAAGAATGAAGTGGGAGGCACAGCACTCCCTGACCTCAAAACCTACTACACAGCTGTAATAATCAAAACAGCATGGTACTGGTACAATGACAGACAAACAAACAGACCAATGTAACAGAACTGAGAATCCAGAAATTAACCTATTTACTCAACTTGTATTCAACAAGGAAATAAAACTTATCAAATAGGAAAATGAAAACCTCTTCAACAAAAGGAATTGGCAAAACTGGACTTCTACCTGCAAAAAGTTGAAGCAGAATCCTTATTTCATACATTTTTAAAAAAGTCAACTCAAGGTGGATCAGAGACATAGAGACAAATCCCAAAACCATAAAGACCATAAGACACAAAATAGGACCTAAGAAGGCCTAGCCTATGGTAGAAGGCTGGCAAATATAGCTAGAAATCTCAAACATTCATTGATGGATGGGATCATCTAAAGACTAAGTCTTGGAGTGCTTTGAAACTGAAATTTATTTAAAGTAAAAAAATTAACCAAGAAATCAAAGAGCTAAGCAGAAAATTTCAAAAAGCAGCTCGGGATGCCAAAGCTAGGTATTATAATGAAACGTGCAGTGAGCTGGAGTAAAAAATCAAAAGGGCTGAACTCGCTCAGCGGTTTTTTGTTTTTTTTTTTTTGTTTGTTTGTTTTTTTGTAAGGAACTGTCTTTATTTTGAAACAATAGGTTGCCTCATAAGTGGCCTAAGGGTGCTTCCGCCTGCACAGGGTGGGGTAGGGTGAGGTGCTGAAAGGGGCCACTGTCCGGCCCTAGGGGAGCTGCAGTCTTCAGATGCTTAGGATGTGTTTCAGGAAGGCCTCATAGTTGATGCAGCCATTGCTGTCCTCATGTCCTGCCAGGACAGTCTCCACCTCCTCCTCAGTAATCTTCTCTCCCAGCATAGTGGGGACATGTCGGAGCTCTGCTCCCATGACTTTGCCGTTTCCCTCCTTGTCAAACACCCGAAGCCCTTCCAAGTAGTCCTTATATGTTCCTTGGTCCCGGTTCTTTGCCACTGCTTGAAGCATGAGCAGGAACGTCTCAAAGTCCACAAGCTGGGGCTTTAACTCATCACTCTTGGGGTTCCCCAGGACTTTAAGCACTTCGGCGTTGGTGGGGTTCTAGCCCAGGGCCCTCATCACATCCCCACACTGACTGTACAGGATCTTGCCATCACCTACTCGGTCAAACAGCTCAAAGTCTTCTTTGAACTCCTCCAGTTGGTTCTTGTTAAACTCTACCACCAGTTTGGAGAGATCGATGGGGGGGTTCCTGGGATTTTTCAGTAGCTGGAGAGGCAGCTGGCTCAGCTTTGGCCTTGGGTGGAAGGGCCCCGGATGCTGGCTTCGCATCGGGCTTTGAGGTAGCAGGGCCTGCTGGTTTCTTCACAGGAACATCTTTCTTGGGAGGCATAATGTCCAATAGCCAAAGGACAATGTGTTGATGGGGGCACCCATCTCCTGCGGGATCCAGGGAAAGGGAGGGGTCGGGGCTCAGCGTTTCTTAAGCGGAAGGAGTTGAAAAACAAATTCAGCTACAGGTGGCAATGCTTGAGGATAGTTTGGGTAGAATGTTAAATGATCCAGGAAGTATCAAAAGAAGATGGAAGGAGTACACAGAGTCACTATCAGAAGGAATTGCTGACACAGAGGAATTTCATTAAATAATATATGAAAAAGAGCCTATGGTGGTGAAGGAGGAAGGTCAAGTTGCTCTGAAAGAATTGGCAAAAAACAGGGCTCCATGAGTCGATGGCATACCAATTGACATATTTCAACAAACAGACACTGCCCTTGATGTGCTCACTAAGTTGTGACAGGAAATCTGGAGGACAGACAGATGGTCAACTGACTGGAAAAGATCAATATTTGTTCCCATTCCAAAGAAAGGTGACCCAACAGAGCAATATCATTAATATCACATGCAAGCAAGATTCTGCTGAAAATGATCCAAAAATGTTTGGAACAATATGTCAACAGAGAACTGCCAGATGTGCAGGCTGGATTTAGAAGAGGTCGTGGTACTAGGGATATTATAGCTAATGTTACATGGATCTC